AGCCACCAAAAATTTATGTGGCTTGCATGTTTTCAATTTCCTTTCCCGTCTCATCATGTAGACTAAACTATAAATCATTATTAATAGCCCTTCGAATTATATTAGCATTTCAGAATTTTCATTATTTTATATCATCTTCATGATTTGCAATGTTGATCATCCGATGATCCAGTTAGGAGAGTAGATATTTTAAATTCGACTTATTTTAAGAAAGGTAGAGGTAAACCTACAAAGACTTGGGCTTGTTATATAAAAAATTATCTAAATTTATTAGAATTAAATGAAAATATGACTCTCCATAGGACAAAGTGGAGAAAAAGAATTCATGTAGCCGACCCCACTTAGTTGGAGAAAGGCTTGTTGTTGTTGTTGCTGCTACTCATATTGGAGTTAACCCAAACCATATTAGGAAAAGCAAATATTATTATTGAAAGCCATAGACACTTATGATCAAACACGTTTGAAAGAAAAATTACAACAACCACAATAAAAACTCACACCAGAGTTCGATTCATGGGAGGTGGAGGTCGGCTAAGTGGTCAGGGAGCTGAAGTAGGTGACTGAAATGGGCTGGGTGTAGTTGGGACAGCGAAAGAAGAGACTGGAAACGCGTTGGCAGCGAAACGGAGGGTTGGGGCAATGAGGGCAGCGAATGGAGTGTAAAGCGGAGAGGCAAGGCACTGCGGAAAAGGCTAGAACAGTCAAGGGATAGCAGGAACACAGCAGGTTTAATGTTTTTCAGATAATGGTGGGAAAAGAGCGAAGTGGGGGACTGCATACAGCAAGGGACGGCTGTCGAGGGAGGTGGCAATGAGCAAGAAGAGCTGAAATGGAAGACTGCAGTGAAAAAACAGCAAAAAAGTGCCGTTCGGGGCAGCTACAGTGATGGAGGAAGGTCGAGAGCATTGGGGGGAGGGTCGGGAAGATGCGGAAAAAGATAGGGAATATAATCACCACCTCGAGAGAGAGAGATACAGCCAGAGCATCACCATTACCTTGGATATAGCCCTCGAAAAGAGAAGAAAGGACGCCGGCAACTGTCCTAAACAAAACACATGAAAAACTAGCCTAAACATGAAGAAATAGTATGTATGTATATATATATATATATATAGACACACGAGCAAGCGCGCGCGCCTAGGGTAAAGAGGAGTGAAACCTACTCCAAATAAGAGAGAAACCTGTGCTTGAAAGACCAGTAGGTCCCTCCTTTGCCTGGACCTAGCCGGTTTAGGGCAATATAGTTCCATCTATCGAGTCGAAGACAAATACACCCTTGATTACTAGTATCGCAGAAAATATCATGTCCAGTGTAAAGTCACCTCGCGTCATCATGATTTGCAAGAACATAAAATTTGCTCATATTTGCATGAAAAAAATCAAACACTTAATTCTTCCAAGTTGAATATATTCGATACTGGCAAAATGATACAAATTAGACACTATGGGAATCTTTTCCTGGGACTATAACTTCATTTAAGGACTCTTGAATCTCAAGTCTATAGTTCTCTACTTTATAATGTTGTTGCTCTCATTCACACTTCTACTTCACATGAACATTCCCTCTGCATCTTGCTACTTTGTTGCCAACTACTCCCAACCTATATTCCCACAACCCTACTTCATGTTATCATTATAGTTGTTGCCGCTAGCAGTTAATCATGTTGTGTCACTCAAATGCCTATTAATCTTGTCGATTGTTGCTTTCATATCTTATGATTATTAGCTTTGTCAAGTTTGTATTTGACATTATCGCTTGCCTGTTTTGGCATATCATAAAGTTAATTGGAAGATTTGATGTTGCTGGAAATAATGAAAGATGTATTGAAACAAATTGATTATGAATTTATGTTAAGATCTTATAAAAATTGCCTTACTTTTGGTCTCTTGTGGTCTATAGCTATGACACCTAAAATTTGTAAAAATTACAACATAGTGCAATAAGAATTTATATTCAAAATTCTTTTTTTCCACTAATAAAATGTGTATTCTTCAAATATTTCAAAAGTGTTAACTAGTTCATTAGCGAATCTACTAATAATAGCATGAGGCCTTATTATCCTTGAGGCTTATTTTTAAAACGAAAATGAAAAAATGGAATGAAAACAGCTAAAGCAATAAACAATAAGAGCTACAGAAAAAGAAGAAGTACGAAAAAAACAATATGGATGACATGAAAACCTTTGATACTAAATCCCAAAGAACATGAAAACCAACAAATAAAGTAATTCATTTAGATCTCCTTGTTCAAGGTATAATGGACAAAAGGAAGTAATGATAAATTTTCTTCTAATTTTTGCCATGCTCGGTGAAAATAATTTGAAATGTCCCAGCCACCAAAGTCGGCACTTTTAAGTGCTCATGTGAATAATAAGGCTAGAGAGCTTCAGGTTTATCAATATGTTGAAAAACTAGATGGAGGTAAGTATTGTAGTAGTCAGTTGACATAAAATTTATGGTGACGTTGTTGATGTTAATGTGACCACCATCAAAGGGTGCTCGTGCAAGTACAAAATCCTCTAATCCTAAGGGAAAATCTAAAATTAATTACAAGTTCTAGTTGCAGACCTTAACTATTAGAAGAGTTGCCTCCAAAAGGATAGAAGGTTAACTGGTCATTTTATTACATCCAAAAATATTGTTAGATGATCAATATGTTGGAATTCCTTAAAATTCAACCCCCAATTAATATCCAAAAAATCAAGGAATCCGCATCTCTTTTTCTAGCTAAGAGGACTTGTCTAGTTGAACTAAGACATACCATAAACGGCCTCGAAAGAACAGAAGTAACATTATCCATTTATAAAAATTTGCCAAAAATAAACTCGAAAGAATATAAAGATATAAATGAATTTGAGGGAATGCAATCTAAATTGCAGTGAAAGATGGTTCCTTACAACAACAACAACAAAACCTTTATCCACTATATGGGGTCGGCTACATTAATTATTTTTCTCTATTGCATACTATTTAGTGTCATATTTTCATTTAATTCTAATAAATTAAGATCATTTTTTATACAATGAGGCTACCCTTTTAACTGACGCATCAAAAAGCCATTATAAAGTAGGAACTTTGGGAGGAAAAAACCGAATGCAGAATGCTTTTGAAAAATTTTAATCGGAACATGAGGATAGTTAATAAGCCCAATGGAATAATAATCAACTAAATATAAATCCGGCAAAAAGCTAATAATAATGTCCAAGTTGGTAAAACTTGATAAGAATTTGTCAACAATAGATCAATTGAGAGGCCTGGCAAGCTCTAAGATCTCTTCTTCTATGATAATCATAGCAGGTTTTTCATAATAAGAGGATGGATGCTTATAAAGGCGCGATGCTAGATTTTGATAAAAAAATAAGAAAGGAATGACTATTTGAAGTCAAATAATAAATCCTAGAGCCATTCAGCCCACCAATAACATTTGCAAAAGAGCAGCAGTAGTTAAAGGTGCAGAATCCAAAGGAGGGGATGTCAGAGAAGTAGTTTTGAAGCAAGGAACCAAGGGGATAAGAATGAGCAACCGAATTGGGATATCATACAAAACCCTAAAGTAACATGGGAGAAAGAATAGGTGAGACCTATTGAGAGATTGATGGCAAAAGAAGACAAGGATCCAAAGCGAAAGCCAAAATGGCATTCATAAAGCCATCAAAACTCAAATAAAGTGAATGAGCGCAATGCTAAAAATGAGAGATAAAAATCCGTAAATAGAAAAAAGGCATCTCAAGAAGGTAACACTACAGCCTTAGATGCATAAGTGATTGAGAGGAAAAGCCTTACCCGAATGTGGGAGGCACCAGAGACATCAAGGCTAGGAATAAGCAAGTGGGATTACACAAAACTTTAGACAAGAATAATGCTCACTAAACATACAAATAAAAATGGAAAGTCCAACAAGAGAAAACCCCTACTTGACAGGAATGCGAGTGCGATTCCGAACAAACAATGTAGATTGGAGTCAAAATGGAGTAAGGGGAGACCTCCCGCGCACCATTTACATAAGCGCAAGGCTGAGCAATACACTTGCAACAAGCAAAAGCTATGTGGGACAAAGTTGGGATGGAGCGGGTTATTCCTTTGGATGATTTCTATCTTTCTTGATCACAAGTGTTTGTATGTAATTGAAATGAAACAAAAATTAATCGTTGTTCTTACATTAAACCTTTTTTTTTGCTAAAGTTAATAGCTAATAACATGTGTGTTGTGATATTTTATATGTTTCTAAGTGCATATCATCTTACGCTGCATTAGAAAATTCTATAGCCTGACTATCCTACACCACTTCCATTTCATAAATGACTACAATAAAGTGGTGTTGTTATGACTATACAGCTGAGACCATTAGGATGGGACAAAATTTTCAACAAATCAATTACCGTGCATGAGAACAATAAATCTTAGCTTCAATATTTGTCCAATAGCTGGTGTCTAACAACTCGGTCTTGACCAAGTACTTAAACCAAGCCGCAATTTCCATTATCATCTATGCTTGCCTTAAGCCATCCTTCTTATGCTTTCACAATAAAAATTCATTAGAATCAAAGGCAAAATGAACTTAACTAATTAAAGATATCATCAATAATTTTCTCATGGGAGTGCAAACCACCTTACTTGAATGCTCAGTTGGAAAATATTCATTTAAGTAGTACTCACTCTCTCAAGTAATGCCTTTTCTTGGGTTTCCATAATGTCACGGTTTAAAGATTAAAAGTAAAAAACATGAAAAAATAAAAATAAAAATCTAATATAGATATAGTATCTAAAAGAATTAATTAATTTGGTCAATAAAAATATGTTCTAATGAAGCTTGTCACAAGAATATCCAGATAAATTCAGAAATCCATAATGATAACAAGAATGTTTAAAGTGCAACTCAAAATAAACATAGCATCAAAATAAATGCAACGGCCCAAAAGATTCACAGAACATGTTCATGGTTTAATCAAGATGGATATAAGACTTAACAAAGAAATGAACAACTCTCTGAGATTATATACCTCGATCAGTAGGGTCCACTGGCTCAGTTTTTACTTCAAGACCATCTGTAATCAGCCTAAGAGACTTGTTATCTATTACCCTGATAAAGTCAAACACAAATTTAAGGGTGAAATCATACAAAAGATAAAAATTATATTGCATTTCTCAAATAAAGGGTTGTAATAATGGGACTAAGTCATACTTTTAATAATGATGAATACATAGTTTATTGATGAAATTCTAAATTTGACAGGAAATACCTCTCAAAAAGAAGCAATTATAACTCTAAGGAAGGGATTGGCAAAGAAAGAACTCAGCAAATGGCTTAGCATAGTCATTGTTACTATTATTACTAGTAAGAGAAGACTTAAACAAGAAATTAAGCAACATGAGCAAATTCTGAAATATTTTCAAGCAGCAACATGTTCATGGTTTAACATAAGTTCACACATCCAGTTCATGAATCAGTAGATGGTATTATTAGCTCATTAGCCGATTGATGATATTCATAAGTAGACCCTGAAAAATGAATCCCATAAAGCTATTTTCATGTTATAAACTTGAGCTTAAAGTCAGTAGCAAATCAAATCTCCAAAAAAATGATAGCACTAGATGAAACAAGCATAAGAAAATATATCTAGATCACAAATAAAGGAAAAGTGTGGGAAACAATATTGCACTAAGAGACATAAAGGAATGAATAGCATATTCTAGTTTAGAGCTAGGAAACTTACCCTAAACCTAGTGGATCTAGAAATTCCACACCATGAGGCAGAGACTGTAAGTTGGCAATACCCTTTCGTCCTGATGGCTTCGCATCAATAGTTTGAGGAGTAGATCTAGTCTCACGCAATTCACGAACTCTACGAGCAAGCTGAAGTTAGAATCATGTTGGTCAATAATGCGGCCTTACAAACTTAACAATTGGAATGAAAAATATTGGTTACGTAGTAGTGAAGAACCATAAAATAATAATAATAAGTACTCCAGAAATATATGAGCACAATGCCTGGTGAGGCACTTCCAAACCAAAACAAAAGAGCATGTAGGAGAAACAAATATTTTCAAGTGTAAAGCTAAAATACCAAAGAAAAAGCTCGGACCTCAAGGAGTATCCATACTATTAATGATAGTGACCGCAAACATCATCACAATCACCGTCATGCACCACCTTTATAAATCTTCCTCCATTCATTTCATAAACTTACTTTGCAAACATCTTTTATTCAATTTGATAGCAAGTTATATTTAGTCTACCCTTTTCCTTCCTAAAGCTTCCACATTAATTCTATACAACCATCATATTGATTGCAGATTAAAAAGTTCAAGAAAAAATAAAACACTATGATGGATGAATGGATTGATGGATGGATTATTATTAGCATTACTATTAGTATTACTATTAATATTAGTACTAGTATTAGTATTATTATATCAAGAAAAGGCGTATGTATAACATTCATTTGCCATAAAAAAAGAAGTTATTTTCTCAATCTCCTTATGAAGTATCAACGACACATAATATGATTTTATATAGTCTAAATATAATCAAAATCAATTAGCTACATTAAAATTGTAAAACATACTCTGAAAATCCCTAAAATAATACTTTATATTTATTTTAATAGTCTTTTCCTTTTAATAAGAATCCATTGTTTCAACTAAAGAAAGTATAACATTTTTTATAACTAATTAAAATTCAAATAGAATATATTTTTACATGCAATTGGTGCATGTGCATTCTAACCTCAACTGTAGATCTATAACTAGCCAACAAAGTTAAGTCAAATTAATAGAACTAAGAGAATAGAATACGTAAGTTTGAATATATAAATTTAGCAGCTAAAAATAAAAGATAAAGGGAGAAAATATGTTTTGCAACAGTAATAGGGTTATCAAATCAAACCAACTCAATTAAACTGTCTTGCGCTCATTGAAACTCATATAATGAAACGAAAGTACTATAAATACCAGAAGAAAGACCGAATTTCTCATGAACATCAAAAAGGAGTAGAACACTTGCTTCACCATTCAGCATAAGCAAATAAAAGATCGAAAATAAATAATAAATAATAAATAATAAAATATAGATACATATGTGTGTGTGAGATAGAAAAAAAAAACGAGGGTGGGTTAATAAGCCTAGATGGGTTCTAATTACTGAAAAGAGCTTAGTTTTTTTTTTTTTTTTTTTGGCTTGGTTATTAAGCTCTTCATAAGTAAAGTTCAACACAAAGGGCTTAGGAAATTAATCCGCCTAGAAAAATATCAATGATCCAACGGACATCGCTTTTAGCAGGATAATTACCTTCCCTCTCCTTGTCAACCTTTCCTCCTTTTTCAGGTCTAGGCTTTTACAAGCTTGGTCATTTCATATTATGTCCAACAGTAAAATATGGCCCTTTAACACTTCCAAAGAAAAAAAATATCAAATCAAGCATCCATCCAATCTTGTTCAGCTTCCTCATTAGCAGTAAAGTTTTCAGCTTACACAGAGCAGCAACAACTTCGCACTAGGCCACCAGCTCAACCAAAATGCAGGCCAAACAATCTAATCATCAACAAGCCAGTTCCAAAAACAAAGACGTATCCCCACACCATTTTGAAATAAGACCATTTTCAATGCTAACAAAACTATAGACAATGAGATTTCTAACGAATCCACCAAATCTAACGGAAACTCAAGCAACTTTCCAATCAATTCAACGAAAATACGAAAAGGTAACAGCTGCAGCAGAAACTCATACCTCTGACTCATCGACCCGTTTCCAGCTCCCAGGCTCACCGCCAACATCCGCGTGATCGTCATCAATTGAACCCCTCTGCGGCCGCGCCTTCTGTGTAACCCCCAAGTCCCTAGACGACCCCTCATCACCCGATGAGATACTCAACAGTTCGACCTCCGAGTCATCATCGTCGTCTGCACCGCCCCTGGAGTCCCTTAGATGTCCCTTGGAGCTGGATCTCGATCTAGCGTTAGGCATGGGGTTCGAATTGTTGGTACGCGTGAAAGGGGGAGGGGGCGGAACCTGGACAAGATTAACGACGGGTTTTGAAGGTTTCGACTGTTTGTGGTAGTTAATATCCCGTTCCGACTGCTCCTTAAGAGCCATCTGGAGGAGCTCGTCTTCGTCGAGGTCGCTGTCGCTTGCCATGGGGGACGGGCTTTATCTTCCCCGGCGAGAGAAGGTCGGATCTGATGGTGAGTTAAAAAAACAAATGACAAATCAAAGCGTATAGCGACCGATCCCCGCTTCACTCAACACCTTAAATTTCTGATTTTTAACCTTTGAGAAAGTTTCTGGCTCTGTGTCGGCTAAGAAAAATACAGTATATTACAAGTTTTATAGTTATTTATAAAATAAATGCAGCAGAATTGTCTATTTGTTTTAAAGCGTAAGTTATTTTAAATATTTAAGGGTTATTTAGTTTTTTTTTTTTTCTAAAAGAAATGTAGAATATTTAATTTTTCTTTTTAGTGTTGAATATCATATAACTTTTATTAAATTTACATATTTAATTTTTTTAAATACTCGCATTTATTTATATATTATTTAATAATAAGATATTTAATATACTAATATTAGTGATAATGTTGGTATTACAATATTCTCTTTTTACATTTATAACACCCAAATATTTCATAACATATAAAAATATCACCATTTAAACTTCTAAAATATGAAATACTTTTTTTCATATATAGATAAGATGGTATATATGTAAAATTGAAATTTATGTATTAAATATGTAAATACATAGGAATTAAGTGGTATGTATGAAAATCTTAAATTTTTGGTTGGTTGAGATGAAGAAATTCCTTATTTTATGAATTAATTAAATGATTATCTTCATTGTAAAATAGAGGTGCTTAAAATTGGGCTCTTGTAACAATAAAGTGGAAATTTGGGCTAATCCAAAGAAAAAAAGATATAATCGGGGACGAAGTTCTAACAAATAACAATAAATCAGCAGTGCGCCGAAGCCTGCTGCAACCCCAATCGGACACGGGGTCAGCTTTAACCTTTGGTAAGTAACAATGTCATAAAACGATAACTAAATGAGCAATACACATTTCGTTTGAGCTGGAGTTGTGAATTTGGAGGTCGTGAAGGCGAAAGGCTCTACGACGAGTTGGATTCGAGCCTGTGAATGTCAAAATAAATTGTGAAGCCTTCTTTAAGTGTATCTAGAACTTACTTGAAAAGTGTGTGTTGTGAAGCTCTGAGAAAGGCTTCATGGAGGTTGTTTGTGTTTTTTTTTTTTTTTTGTTATTCTGATGAGAAATGATTTTCTTAAAGTTCGTCGTCTTTTTCAAATCATTTTTTCTCTATCACCCTCAACTATAAAAACAAATAAAGAAATGAGAGTTTGAAAATAAACAAAAACTAAGAAGAAATAAAAAGAATAGTTATGAAGATATTTATAAAGAGAAATCCATGTAGCATAAATCGGAGAAGAGCGGCTCAAGTTAAATTAGACATTGCTCAACCCGAGAGAATATACAAGAAAGTTCATGTAGAAAAAACTTCAGTAACCAAGCCAGAATACAAAATTAAAAGTATTTTGTTCGGGGTTCAAAGAGACATCACAGTATAATATATCCTTGCGGTCAACTACATCTTTGGGGATAATCAGGAAAACTAATTAAAAAGGTTGTTATGTTTACCTAAATTGTCTTAAATATATTTAGCAAGCGTGATTTCTAGCATTCCTTGTAGGTAAAAATCTTCTAATCATCCCATCAGAACTAAGCCAGCAGACAAAGGGTAAATCACCATAACTGAGCTAGGAGACTTATGGTACTCGCCTAAAAAGGCTCGATAAAGGAAAGACTATACCCAAGGAAGTAGATCAACGGCAAGGTCAGAGAAAAATCTAGACGGATGGAGATAGTCTGACCAGAGCTCCACGCACCTATCCTCTCGGACTATTGAGACCCTAGATCTAATAAGTAGTTAAGGTTCGTCGACTCAACTCAGTTGGGGGTCACCTCATCAACAACACGTGTGTCGCATCGTCCGAAGCAATCCAACATATCCAAATTCAAAAAAAAAAAAAGAAACATCTAAGCTCCTATGACTATATGGACCAAAGAAATAGAGTAAAGATTATATTTGCTAATGATATGGATAAGAAACCTACACCGAAAAAAGAACGAAAGAACACTTACAAAAAGCTTAAAATCCTTTGTGAATTGGGAAAGTCTTTAACACCCACCACCGCATTCGATAACCACATAATTATATAAAGAAAGTGTTGGGGTTGTTAAATTAAAAAGCAAGAGTACTTTTCTCGGGATGTGCAATATGTACGCAATTATCTACAAGATCCTAAGCATGGAAGCCATATTAATATGTCAACGGGATATATTCATATATTTTATGATCAATTAAATTATGTTTGAAGTTCATGAAGGAAAGTAAAGAAAATAAGAAAAAAATGTTGATTTTTAAATATTGCAATTTTAATCCTAAATTTTATTAAAATGGATACTTTAAGATAAACTTTTATATCAAAGATTTTATGCTAAACAACTAGATGTTATTGTATCCAAACAAACCACACGCATAATAAAGAGTGAAAACATGCAAGCTATGGCAAAGAAACATTCAATAAAAAAGAATAAATTACATGTCGAGTGTTACTAGGCTAACAACATGTCTTTAAGAAATAAAGTGACGATCAGACTCTTCATATACATGCATGATCCTATAAATATACAATAAATATATAATTTAAAATTAATCTATGAGGAAAGAGCAAGCAGCTAATGTTTTTCTTGAGTCTCTACTCTAAACTTTATGACTCATGCTCTTACTTTATTTCTAAAATTGATATTTTGAAAGGGACTCTAAAAGTACATAGAAAAATGTCAAAAAAAGTCTCGATCTGCAAAATAAAGGTCGATAGCTATCTCACGCAACTTATGAAGGGCAATATCTAAAGGGAGGTTGGTACATGTTGTGCTTTTTTTATTGTTGAGATTCAATACTGAAACTGTTGTATTAATCAGAATGAATAAGTTGAAATCTTTCATGGATGTTAATGCGACATTTACTCCACCTATTCGAGAATCTGGTGACGTTGAGCTTTTGCATCTCACTGAATCTCTCGATGTGTGGACTATGTTAAAAGCTCCAGTGGCTAATAGTTCAATATCTTCATTTGTTTAGATAATAAGTGGAGCTTGTTCATTTCATGATAAAGCTAAGAATGCACAGAGTGCTGGATTCAAAGCCGCCATTGTGAAGATAAATATAACAATGGATTGGTGATATGTAATACATTTTATCGCTCGTTTATATATCGACCTTAATTCTATTATTGTTATTATCTAAAAAATTTAGGTTGACGGTTGAAAATTTTATATAGGGCTTTGTAATCTTGAGTGTTACTGGTAGATGTGATTCCATCATTTACATTCAAAGAGAGTATGCTTGTCTTTTCAATAAAAGCTTCTATTGGTTGAAAATGATGCCCTGAAAGAAAAATATGTCTTAACATGCTAATGTGCAAGTTTTAAACTCAGTAAAGTATGTAAAAATGATCACAAAGTGTACGATAGCAAGCACATAGTAAGGAAAAATGGTAATGTACAAAGATTCCTAACTATACCCCAGTCTTATTTCTATACAATAACTACAAGGTGTTGCCTACACAAGCATATACATACAAGTCATGATGTGCAGGGGCAAGAGGCCTTCTCGTAAGAACTTAACGGGGTCACCAAGTTGGCCTAGGTCAAGCATCTGGAAGAACTAACACTTGTCTCAACAATTGGTGAATATTAGAACGTCTATGTTTAGAATGATCCTATGAGATTTAATAATAATAGCATAACTCACATCATCATTAGGATGAGCCGATGAGTAATGTTGTTTCCTCATTTTTCACCATAGTTCATAATAAGGATCGTTTGAATACTATCACTGATATACTCTCCCATGAAACCAATACCTACATGGTACAATAAAAAATAGAGTCTTAGTGTGTATGCACACACACAAGCAATGCATAAAACACACCTTGAAAATATCATGCCACTGGGAATAAAACCCAATGACACTAAAATAAGGTCAAAATTTCTCATAAGAGGATGAAATTGGGAATGCATATAAAATATACAACTAATAACTTTGGAAGATTGAACCCCTAGAGCTCTAACTCAAGATCCATATGTCATGAAAATGATAAAAAGGAATGCATATAAATACATATCAACATACAAGACATACATGTGAAATGAAGCACATGATTATGAATATAGAAATATAAAAATTACCTCTCATATCATCACAAAGCGGGTACTATAATGTCGTGAAGACAACTTCGGAGAACAATCTATGAGATTCAAAAGTAAATGGAGGTGGTGTTCTAATACCAACAAATGGTACTAAGATGTTAACCCCTTTGAACCCTAAAGAGAAGAAGGGATGTGTTGACCCATAATACAGTCTAAACATAGTCAAAAACATGATACAAACATTATCCTACATGTCTCATATGGGTGGTATTCAAAGGATGAAAATGGAAGAAAACTTATTTATGTCAGTTCATGCCAAAGCATGACATAAATGACATAAGCCATGTTTATCAGTCAATCAAAGCAAATCGCCACCCATATGGAAGGGTGTACCAAAAGTTTGGAAGGGAAAGTCCCTAGGTCGATGATCTATAAAGGTCAGGATTTGATTATTCAGAAATGTTGAACTCTATCTAAATACATGGTTATATGCCAAACAGATCGCCTCCCATATGACAGGGTGTACCAATGATCGAAAAAAAAACCATCAAATCTTTCAAGATTTGTGAGATTTGAAAGAGTTGATGGTTTTGCTACTGTAAATACTGGACACTGCATAAGACACTACCTCAACTAAATGACTCTTGTAAAAGCATGATAAACTTGTTTCTATTGTGCAATGATTGGATCACTAATGATGATCTAGTGTTGTGTGTTAATGAAACTGTAAGTAAAAGCATCCTTTAACTAGGTAAAAAAATGTATCATTTTGTAATTCAACATATCAATCAAAAGTAAAATCAATTAGACATTTAGACTAGTCATAAAATACACAGTAATAAAGGCATCATTATTTCCAATACCATAGTAGATAGCTATGTATTACATAATATGTTGTTAGAGTTTCCAACCCCTTTGAAATAATGAGGGAAAAAAACCCTTAGGTCTAGGGACTGAATCATTCTCTTTTGGGTATAGACTCCTTTTCGCGCTAACAGAACTTCTTATTGGGCGACCAGAGTTGCTTTGATCTTGTCAACAATGAG